TCGGGTCAAAAACGCGTCGAAATTCAAATTTCCACAAAAAATCGACCAGCGATCGATTGTTTCAAAAAATTTCATTCGAGTTTTCGACGGGTAACAGTGCAAGCGATGTGAATTATGGCGATCGGACGTGTTGGCTCTCCGAATTGCGAAGTTTGTGCGCGCGGGAGTGCGAATTGTGCAGAAGGCCACCCTAAGGCTCAAAAAGGTCCTATAGGGATCCCTTTTGGGTTTCCTCATGTTGGTTTCACCCTTCTAAATGCTAGAAGTCGATACCACACACTTGGAACCACAAAAGAGGACGGAAATAGGTCAAATTACAATGAGGCGGGCACCACTTCTAAGGTTCTAAGATAGTCAAAGGGAGATCCCTAAGGCTAGATCCTAAACCCTAAGAGGAAGACTAGACCTCACTAAAAATGAGGTCAACAGAAGGTTAAATCAAACATGGTGCTCTTCAGTCAGGAATTTTCATTCTTCCAGAGTCATAGATTTCGATTACTTGGTGGTTTCATCCTGTGAAAAATGTGGTTTCTTTTAATATAATAAGACTATTATTTGTATTTTTCAAAAAGCAAAATTCGAACCATTGAACTTTTCAATCTTGTACCTCACTTCATCATTTATTGTTTCAACGCAAACAAAAGAATTTTCCAACCCGATGCACTCTGATAGTATTTATTGGGAGATATAAGTTGTGGAAACTGATCCAAGAGATTCAAAATAAAATTTTGGATAGAAGTGCACAAAAAAAGAAAAACATAGAAAATTTAAGATTTAATATGAAAATTTCTTATTATGGAAAAAAATGGAGTCGCACCATATCAAGAAATTCACTACAAAGAAAATGAGAAGAATCATATAAATTATACCACACTTGAGCCTCTCAACAGTTTGGACTTTGGAGCACATTCCTCTCTTCTCTTTTGCACACTTGAGCCTCTCAACACTTTGGAGCACATTCCTCTCTTCTCTTTTGCACAAGAGAATGCAAAATTCAGCTCATACCTATCAGCAAAACTGTCACGATAAGTAAAAAACTATGCAAAATTGGGTACAAGCGCTGGGGAGCCGTGAATTGGCACCAATGTTGTCCAATGAGCACTAGGGTGCTGCAATGTTATGTTCTCAAGTTTTGTAATGGGATTGGGCAGAGATTAGGGTGTTGTTGGTCTCAATACTTCTGTGTTGCGGGTATGAGAAAAAACGAATTGATATAAGCTTCCCACTGCCCCCAAATCCAATACAGGGGGCGTTGCCCACTCCCCACACCTCACCTCTCGACAAATCATAGTTGAGTTTGACCGGCGAAATTGAGGGTTCTGAGATGACAATTGATCTACGCAATTAGGCTCCACATAAGAACAATTTGTTCTAATTTCCTCATATAATTCCGCTGTATACCCTGCATAAGGAAAATGTGATATATTCCTAATTTTTTTCTTATTTATCATTTACCTATTATGTTGCATTTTTATGCCTTATTTCCAGACAGTTTATTATAACTTTTTATTACCGTAAAAAAATAGTATTATTGTCGTCATTCCTAATACATGTTTCACAATAATCAGGGTATTAAAGCTGTTGCAGGAGCTTTATCTCGCAATCTGACAGATGTTCAAGGTCAACATGGCAGCTATCTATCTATTTATGATGATCCATCAATTGTTTTGAAGGTTTTTTTTTATTTTAAAGTTATTTGGACCGTGATTTGGTTTGGAATAACACTTTCCCTGTAACATTTGATATCTGTGAACCTTATTCCGATAATATATTTTATACAGGACCCAGTTATAGACTTGATAGATGCAGCCGTGGACAAACTAACACATTCGACAAACTTCCTCCACTTTTTGGGAAACCATGCGCTTATCATTTCAGATGAAATATCAAGTTCTGAAGACCATCCTGATGATGGAAGTTATCAATTTATTTCACTTCTACTGAATCTGGCGAACACTTTCTTGTACATGGTCAATACGTATATTATTGTTCCTACAGCAGATGATTATTCCGTAAGCCTTGGAGCTGCAGCAACTGTTTGCGGAATAATTATTGGATCCAATGCCGTTGCACAAGTGTTTTCTTCAATTTATTTTAGTTCTTGGTCTAATAAATCATACTACAAACCTCTTGTTTTTAGCAGCATCATGCTTCTAATAGGCAACACGTTGTATGCATTGGCTTATGATTTCAACTCTCTGGCGGTTCTTTTAATGGGCCGCCTTTTATGCGGGTAAGTAAAACATTTCTACTATAGTGTAAAGTATCAAAATAGTCCTCTCAGTGTTTACCTGTTGCAATTTTAGTCCTAGAGCCTATAAAAATATCACAAATTATTCCCATACTCTTTGAATTGAGGCTGAAATAGTTCTTCAAATGGGCTATTTTAGCCCATATTAAAAGCACAAGTGATTAAAAATTTACATTTTTATAGATTCTGAGATTAAAATGATACCCCTTACAAAATAGAAGGGGACTATTTTACACTTTCCTCTCTATCTATTATATCATTCAAGGTGGAAAATTTTGTATTAGAATCATAAAAGTATTAGAATTTTTTTGTTGCATGTGCGGATATTTTAGTAAACATAACATAATATTGTTATTGATAGGGGGTTTTTTATTTTCTCTATCGTTGATATTTGCTGCTCTGTTGCCTTGTATCTGAAACATAAATGAATAATGAGAAAAGCAATGTTTTAATTCAAAGCCACACTATGCATTGATCAATAGAAAAACTTTTTATTATGTGTATGATTTAGCAAGACAGTTATCCTAGGATTCTCTTATGTTTCAATTTCTTAATTCTTTATTGGTTTGTGGACACTATTTTAATTAATGATATGGGTTTGCTGATTTGGCCGTCGTACACAATTTCATTTTGGAGTGCGTGTGAACTTGCTTTATATTTCTATTTGTGGTTATTCAACTTAAGTTTTTTATTGGTGTCTTTTCATATAATATATTATCAATTGTATGTATAGGTTGGGCTCTGCTAGAGCTGTTAATCGTCGCTACATCAATGATTGTGTACCCGTTAAGATTCGTTTCAAGGCGTCTGCTGGTTTTGTTAGTGCAAGTGCTCTTGGAATGGCTTGTGGTCCTGCACTTGCTGCTTTGCTTCAAGTAAAATTTAAAATGCATGCTATCACAATCAATCAAAATACATTACCAGGATGGGTTATGGCATTCGCTTGGCTTTTTTATTTGCTATGGCTATGGTTTTCATTTAAAGAGCCATCCCGAGTTGACGAGGGAAACCATCAAAATCTTAATACTGGTAAGTTGAATTTAACTATATCATCTTTTATGTATTTTGGCAGCTTATTGGTTTTCTTCATTTCTTTTTTTTTGGTCCAAAGTGATTGCTATGCTATTCGTTTCAAAATGTACAGGTTGTCTAGGATTAATTGGGCAGAACCAGATTCAGCGAATTTTTATAGAATGAGAATAGACTAATATTATCAATATTCAAAATAGAAGTGTCTATGGATATATGGTGCCTGAACAAAAAAATATGTTTTGAGACGTGAGACCTTTTGCTCTCATAACAAATCAAATCCATGCATGTAAAAAACCAAGTCTCTAAGAAAACCTAGGCATACTCTATGTAATAATCATCCATAGCAAACAGCTACTTTTCAAAAGTGATATACTTTTATTGGTCAATCCTTACAATTTTATTATTTTTTATTTTATTTGTGAAAGCTACGTGGTTTCAATTATTAAGGTTCTTATATTTTAACTTTGTTAATATCTTCTTTGTTGCCTGTAGAAAAAAAAAAAGACAGAATAAAGAAAAGAAGAAAATTAAATTCTTAGATCATAATACTGCTATGGTCTATAACTGCTTCCGCTTCCTTTCAGCCCCATAACTTCTCTCAACTTCCTTGTCTTGCAAATCGAAAGGAGACAGAAGATCTCTATCTTGTCGAAGCTCTCTCCTGCACGTTATCCTTCCTTGTTCACGTGTTACAGTCGCGGTTGTTACTAGCTCGCAACGTACAAAGATCACCGAAACTCCCATGTTTTTTTCTTCCGCTCCATCCTTCTCTATTTCGCACATGCGCAACCCCATGCAAACTAAAATCCCTCCCTGTTCGTCTTCTTCACTTCGCTTGCTCCACTCCTGATACAGTCACAATTAGAACCAATGGAAAAAGCAACAGCGAGATCGCAACATACGAAGACTTTCGAAACTCTTGTTCTTCCTTGTATCGCATTCTGAAATCAAAGCTCGGGTCCTTAATCTCTATTGTAGTCTTTCCACGATCTCTCCCTGAGTTCACAAAACTGAGAGTCGCAGGAGCCCTAGCTTTCATCTATCCTATTTATTTGCGTGTCACCAAACTCTCGATGCAGTCACGATTAACTCTAGCGGGAAAGGCAAACGGGGTCGCAACATGCTAGAACCCTTGAAACTCTCCCAGTCGTCTGCTCCGCTTCGTTGAGCAAGACAGAACTGCCTGCCTTCCTTTGCTTGCTTCTGTGTCCCAGTTGCTTTCCTTGGCTGAACTATGACTTACCATCCTCTCTACATTTTTGGTTCAATCCAATAGAGGTCGAAGGCCTAGTTGCTTGTCCTCACTCCAAAATCATTCAAACCTCTATCCACTCTTAAACATCCCTTTTTTTCTTCATTATATATATATATAATTAATATTTAAAGAAAGGGGTTTTTACATATAGAGGTCCCCAAACCATGCAATTTACAGATGAATGTTCTCAATAATTATTTTACGCCTGAAGAAGTCCATCGTGACTCCCTCATTTCTCTGTCTCTTCTGTCAGAGTTGTTTGCGGATTTCTCTGCATGGAGAGAGGACGAATCATCTTCAATTTCAGTCATCATTCCCACCTCAGAAGCTTTTGCCCCGTTATCAGGGCATCGGCTTGGCTTCTGAGAGTCAGAGGATTCCTTGGGATCGGCTGTGGACAAGGTTTTGAGAGGGGAAAGTATTTGAGACGACTTGGAGAGTTGTTGGCGCATATTGGATGTAGTGTGTTGCGTGGCGCGGTGGATATCAAGCATGGTTTTGAGCTCCAGAGGGGGGATGTTGAAGGCGGAGGCTAGCAGCGGCGAGACCAACGACTGCAACAGGGGAATCAGATTGTCTCTGTTGGACAACCCTTCCACCCACTTTGGAACTCGAACGTCGTCACTATGCATTCTTCCCCCACCACCGTCGTCATCATCATCAGGTAGCAAGCAGTCCAAATATCTTTTGTGCCTTTCTTCTATCCCTTCCGATCGAGAGACGAAGAGAAAGGATGGAGTCGTGGCGGTGTCCTTCAGGCGTAAAATAAATGTTTCGGGACTTCTATCTATAAATTACACAATACACGGTTTTGAGACCTCTAAATGTAGAAAATCCTTATATATATCAGAGACTGATTTTCGTATAGGCATATCTTGCAATGTTCTTCAATCTTTTCACAATACTCTTGAAGGTGGTGGCGATAACACCTTCATAAAAAATTGGGGAAAAAAATGGGAATTCTGCTTTTATTCTCACAGAGGTTGAAACCAGTACTCTCGCGTCTTCTTGGCGTTTTGCTCTAGTGGGGAAATTTTCTTATGGTAACCCAAAATTGAAGATCATTCGGAAAGAGTTTGAGACTATGAAGCTATTGGATAGTTGGAATATTGATTTACTTTACGGTTGACACATACTGATTCAGTTGTCTCATGATGTTGATTATACCTGCATATTTTCTCGGAAAGTTATCAAGATCAACAACCGTAATATGAAAATTTTGAAGTGGACTGTTGGTTTCGACCCAAAAGCGGAGTCCCCTATCATTCTAGTTTGGATAAAATTTCTTTGGTTAAAATTACATCTGTTTAATTTGAAAATTTTCTATTCCTTAGCATCTGCTTATGGTCCTCTCAGCATTGATAGTCCTATGCTTGCTGCTATTAGACCCTCTGTGACTTGTGTGTTAGTTGAGAGAGATATCTCTCAACCAGCTCCGGATGAGGTGTGGATTGGAACCACTCACAACGGCTATTGGCAAAATGTTGAAATCAAACCACACCTTCCTTATTGCTCTCATTGTAGTATGTTTCGTCACAACTCTACTATTTATCCCAACCCGTTCTACCCCTGGATGCTCTTGCTTTTTAACACTCTATTCCAGTTGCTGGATTGGAGCATGGTACTCTAAGGTCTCATGAAATATCTCCCCATACTACTAGTACTGATCTAAATGCTCTATATCACTCATTGTTGTTCATTGCTATGGAAGAAGACTCACTTACATGCCAAGACACACAAGAGTGCTCCTTTGATCCAATAGCAAATCAGCCGGTACAACATGTCGTTACTTCTAATGTTCAACAATCTGCACATCTTCAACACACTTTAGACAAAGTTCAGGTGAGAATGACAGGTTTATTCCAGGAGGAAGAGGAGGAAGAAGAAGAATGGGAAGAATGGAGGCCGACTCCAACTAGGGAACATATTGGATGATACATTGGTTACTACTGACAATGACAATCATCTTACCAACTTATTAGTCCGCTCCTTCCCTAGAACAAGAGATAATGACAAAACCAAAGTGGATTGCTCTCTAGCCACCTGATACTTTGTATTTCAGCATTTTTAGGTTTTTTTTTCTCTACTGTACTTTTCTGTATTTTTTACTTTTGGAATCATTTGTGATTTTGGTGTGGGCAGGGTGCCATGTTTGAACCCTTCAACACATTGTATCTATGTCTTTCTTTCTAGTTGATATATTAGTCTTTTTGGGCTTTCTAATATATATATATATATATAGAGAGAGAGAGAGAGAGAGAGAGAATTACTTGGCAATTAATCAACTCGTTGATTTCCTTTCATCATTATCATTGCTGTCTCAAGAGCAAAAGCATAAATTAAGGGAAGTTGTGCTCACATTATTTTTCATGTATGTTAATCGAAGGCCTAACCTGTCTTATAAATATATTCTCTCCGAACACAATATTTTACGACACTAACAAGTGTGTCAATGAGTTCGTGTTCGATTCGTTCGATATGTAAACAAGACGAACGTGAACAAATTTTTTCGTTCGGTTAGTTAAACGAATCAAACACAAACAGTGATAATAAATTAATAATAATAATATATTAATATACTATATTAGTAATATACTAATATAGATATTATATATTCATATAATATAAGTTATATAATTAATATAATATATTATTTATATATATTAATATTTCGATATGTAAACAAGACGAACGTGAACAAATTTTTTCGTTCGGTTAGTTAAACGAATCAAACACAAACAGTGATATAATCGTTCGTGTTCGAATCATTATTGTTCGAAATATAAAATAATTTAAAATAATTATATATATATAATTTATGATATTTAAAAATATTAAATTTTATAAATTATAATATATTAATATACTATATTAGTAATATACTAATATAGATATTATATATTCATATAATATAAGTTATATAATTAATATAATATATTATTTATATATATTAATATTAGGGATGTCAAAATAACTTGTCGTTCGCGAACAGCTCGTGTTCGGTTTGTTCGTTAAGAAACAAACACAAATAGTGTTTTCACATTGACTTCACGAACAATTTCAAACACGAATTTATTTCAAACAAACTAAACTTCAAACGAACCAACACGAACACAAGCTTTGTTTGTTCGTGTTCGGTTCATTCACACCCCTACTTATACAAGAGACAAAATAATCACTCAGATTATGAATCAAGACATTTTAAAAGAGCAGTCAAATGTCCGTGAAATTTATATTTGATTTATGAAAGATCGAATAATTTGTCAATTGATGTAATTGAGCTTCTCTTTGGCTTCAAATTCGATCATGGTTGAAAGTGATCAAATAAAATTTGTCTTAATGCAAATGAATCTTTAGGTGATTTATTTGAATACATAAATTCGGGCTAAATTTAAGCATATAATCATCATTTTTAAATGTTAAAACATGACTTAATATATATTTTCGCCATCGAATACGCAATCTTACTCACTAGTGAACAAAAGACGGCAAAATGTTCAAAGTGAAGTTTTATGTGCAATAGAAATCATAACATTCACACACTTCCAAAAATATTTTTAATAATTCCATAACTTAATAAACTTACCACCAAATTTGCAATTAGATAGAAGGCGATCTTTTGAAAAAGTCAAAATATGATTTCGTGGATATCATTAAGATAAAATTAACACACGACCTGTGAAATTTTTTGAATGATTCTCGCCACCGTATTCACAACATATGTGCAAGCAAACAAAATGTGGTATTTTAAAAGCTTAAAGTGAACCTCTACATGCATCAATGTATTCATTCAAATAAAATAATTTATATAAATTCAAGTCCTACATGAGTCTTTTAAAGTAATTATTGATTCAATTCGTGTTTTAAAATCGTATAAATTGTTGTAAGACATAAAAAAAAACATCTAAAATAGTCAAATATGAGAAATTAAAAAACCCTCACGTGCTCTACTAAATTGACTAAATGCTTAGACATAGATAGTCTAAGAATGTTACACGAGTTAAGATCAAACTTCAATTCAAATAGCTCTTATTTTCAAATATGTGTGAATTCCTTTAAAAAATCTATTATTATTTTAAAATCAAGGAACCCTCCTGTTTTAAAATTCAAATCCAAAATCACCAAACTATGCACGCTTTCAATCGAGTTGTTTTGTCTGTAGAGCAAGATTGTAAGTCCCACTCAACTAATTTTAATTATTCTCTTAAGTACAAGAGTTGATAAGTTTAATAATTTTAATAATGTTTAAATATCAAATATAAAATTTGCAAATCCAAATCGTCTATTATGACTCTTCTCCTAATAAGGACTGAAGTTAACAAGACTGGCATTTTATAGATATTCAGGTATCCAATTTTAAAATAAATTTCAAACATAAGTGTTTGAATTGGTCCAAATCCACGATGATGCTTGAGTTGATAGAAATTTTAATTGGAGGGGACTATTTTCAAATTTAAATTCAAAAGAATATTTGAATAACCCCAAATGACTTAGGTTAAGAATTCAATCTTCTATAAGAGAAATAGAGTCGGCAAGGTTCAAAGTTACTTAAATCTTTAATTATGTTCGAGTTGATAGAAGATTTTGATGGAGGGGTTTATTTTTATAATAAAGTTTCAACAAATATCTAAATAAATTCAACTATTATAATTCCTAAACCTGGTCCTATGTAAGCATAATGGAGTTGAAAAGGTTCATATACACAATTATATGTCAGTACTAAACCTGATCATTTACAAACAAGTAGTAAAATCGACATGATTCAAATCAAGCAATCAAATTCCTGATGGTGTCTAAGTTGATAGATGATTTCAACCGGATGGCAATTATTTTTAAATCAAGTTCTCAAAATAATAAATTATGACATTCGAATTAAAATCAATCATCTAATAAGTTCATTAAACAAATTAAAATGTTCAAGCTAAAATTCAATCACTTAAATACTAAAAGTAAATTCATTCTATTCTTCGTAATAGTTTGTTGATGATAACAAATTTTTAATTGATTTCAGCTTGTACAAAGTGAATGTCATATCGAGTGTATTATTATATTCACATTCAAAGTAATCTCATGTCAGTAAGGATGTGACTCGATCTCTCTATCTGCTTGGTTTAACCCAATAACTTTACAAAAAATGGTTGTTACGATCAAAGTTCTTTGACTGAGTGGTTTTCGTTAAATGACATCATTATATTACGATCACGACCACAGTCTGTATGTTCCTGATTGACTTTTTATCCTTGAGATATGAACTTTAAGTGTACATTTGATTGGCATAAAACTTTGAAAACATTACATACGCAACTCACAATTCTTATGGATTTACTTTTCTCACACCTAAAGTTTCATTTTTACACATATAGCACTTTACCTATGGAAGAAAAGATGATTGACTATTATAAGGTGATAATGAGTGATATTTTTCATACGAAAGATGATTTTGACATTATAAGGTAATAATAAATACTCTTTTTCATATGGTGTTTGTAAATATGAAAGTTTTGGCGTGAGATTGGAAATTTATAAGAATTGGGTGCTATGTATGTAAATGCCCCTGAAACCTTTTGTTAGCTAAGGCTAAATTAAATTTCTCTTTTTAGACAAACATCCAGCCCAGAGCTACAAGGATCTATTGGAAGACATAACTCATAGTTGCTTACAAGGATTTTTCTGTTAGGTTGGGTCGACCACCTACTTTGACTATGTAGATTAGGGGTCACAATGACTCACAATGACTCGGAATGACAGATCTACGGGAATTTGATCAGGTTCATCATCATTTCCCACACCATCTACTTTAAGCTCTAAGTGTTAACTTTTATAATCTAAAAATCAAAGTTTGCTGCTAATATATATTTAATATTCAATGTTAAATTACTAGCCTTAATCGAAAATGCTCTCCCATTATCGAGATGAGTAATTAACCAATAGAGGTTTTACGTATGGAAAACCTCGAACCCATGATGAAAAAGTCATCGCAAAATGAGAATGAAACTTTTGGGTATTGTCTTATCTATAATCCAAACATAAGTCTTGCACAAAATCAAAGGGAGTCTGGGGCACGAAGTTTTGGAGCCCACTTTCTTAGACATCTATTATTTTCATTTGTTCTTATATCAAAAAAGTTATTTACATCTTTGCTTTCTATATTGATTTATGTGGAATTACGCTCTTTATTATTTACTTTAATTCTATTTAGTACTTGTTATATTTAGTCATAGTATAAAAAGGGTAATTCCTTAATTATAGGTATTTATGTTTATTCCGTAATTATAAGAATTACTTAATTGTAGGAAGATTTCTTTCCTCTTTCTATTTTCTTGTACTCACCTATTTATAGGTGAATTATCTATGTATTCAAGTGAGAAAAAGGATTATTCAAAATTCACATGGTATCAGAGCCATCAAAGGGAAGCCTCTCCTGCTTGGCTCGATCACAGCCCTTCTCTCCCGCGACCGTCATCGTCCGATCGTGCCTCTCTCCGACCGTCCGCGTCCGATCGTCATAGCGCCGCATCCGAGCACCTCTCCGATCGTCCTTATCCGATCACGCCTCTCTCCGATCGTTCGAGTCCACATCTGAGCGTCGTACTTCGTCCAAGCGCCGCTCCTAGTCCAATCGTCCGCGTTCCGATCGACCGCATCCGAGCGCACGCAACCCTAGTGCGCACCTCTCCCGTGATTTTCCGCACCTGAGCGTCGACTCTTCTTCCGCGATCGAGCACAACCTATTCTAGCCGTGCTCCTCGTCGGCGCAACCTCATCTCTAGTCATTCTGCTGGCCACCTCTCCTCTCCAATGACTAAGTACGACCATGCCTGCAACTCCTCCACTAGTGATGCCACGTCTAGCCACTCCTTCGCGGCTGGAGGCTGGGTCTCCATTGCCCAGCAATTCAGACAATAATTTTGTCCTCATCACCAGCCACAAACTCACCGGCCAACTCACCGGCCAAAATTACCTCTAATGGTCGCAGTCAGTCATGATGTTTGTATGCGGCAAAGGCAAAGATGACTACATCACTGGTGATACTCCAGCTCCTTGATACGCCAGCTCCTATGACGACAGATCCGTCATACAAGACTTGAAAATCCCAAAATAATATGGTTATGACATGGCTTGTTAACTCGATGACACTTGATATTGGCGAAAATTTTCTTCTCTATGGCACGGCTAAAGAAATCTGGGATGCTGCACGTGAGACCTATTCTAGTGCGGACAATACAAGCGAACTATTTGCTGTTGAGACCATTCTTCATGACTTTCGTCAAGGTGATCTCTCAGCACCCAATCTTCAATACTCTTACTCGGGATTGACAGCCACTAGATCTATTCGAGGTGTACCTTTGGAAGTGTCCTGAAGACTGTCATATTTCGCCAAATCATAAAACAGAAACACACCTTCAAATTTCTCTTCGGCCTCAAATCTGAGTTTGACCAGACTCGCTCACGAATTTTGAATTCAAAACCTCTTCCAACAATTTGTGAAGTTTTCTCCGATATATGTCGCGAAGAGAGTCGTCAAAATGTCATGTTTGGTGCTTCCTTGTCCACTACAGCCTCCGACGGGTCTGCACTTGTTGCTCATATCCCATCCACAGACAACCACCAACGCCAGGGCCGCCCTTGGTTTGACCACTGTCGCCGTTCTGGCCATACTCGGGATATGTGTTGGTGGATTCATGGCAAACCCGCCAATGAGAAACCCAAATGAGATCATCGGGCAGCTGTCACCATCAGCATCGAAGCCTATCCAAGAACGAGCCCATTCAGCGAAGAACAGATTCATGCCCTCCAGAAGATGCTCGGTCAGCTTTCACCAGTCCAGCCTATTAGTGTGGCATCGGGTGCCACCGGCCTTGTGACCTATTAAGGTATTTTCCCATCCGCTTTCGTCTTGGATTCAACCTCTTCTCGCCCCTGGATTGTTGACTCAGGTGCCTCCGATCATATGACATGTGATATCTTCTTATTAATGGATTACCGGCCGTGTAATCCAACCCTCACTGTTCGGATTGCTGATGGATCAGCCTCCAAAGTTGCTGCTCTTGGTTCTGTCTGCATCGCTCTAGATTTATTCCTCACTTCTGTGTTTCGTGTTTCTACTTTGGATTGTAATCTGATCTCTATTAGTAAGCTCACTTATGATTTTTATTGTGTTGCTAAATTTTTTCTATATGTTTATGAATTTCAGGATTTGAAGTCGGGGAGGATGCTTGGCAGTGCTGAGTTGCACAGTGGTCTCTATCTTCTCAACAAACCCTTTGTCAGTCTAGTCTCACCAACCGGTTGTATTCCAATATCAAGCCTTGTTTCCGTTCATTTTTCTCTTTTTTTAATTTTTAAAAGGAGTCGCCAGCTTGTCGATCGTCGTATACTTCCCCCATTCAAATAAATCTCCCTCCCAAATCATATAAATGATTCGAAGAGGAGAGGAATCGAATAA